TCTCAGGACCGGTGGGAGTGGGGGATTCCACAAGGGCAGAAATCCTTGYTGCAGTACAAGGAATTCAGATCGCCAACCAGCTTGGGGTGGAGCATCTCCTAGTTGAAGGGGACTCTTAGGTGGTAACCAGGTGGCWCCTAAACTTGGATACCACCATTTGGGGCTACAAAGATCTCATCAAAAAAGTAAAGTGGTTAATTAGTAATATGAGAGTTGAGGTAAAACGGGTTAGTAGGTCTGCTAATTCTTTGGCTGATGCTTTAGCCGAACAGGGGGTTTCTAGGGAAGATCTTTTTTGTGCTTCTATGTAAGTTGTTATTAATTTGGAAATATGTACTTAACTAGCCCGGAGAGGTTGCAACTTGTACCTTTCCTTGAGGACTTTGTACTATTGTCTATTGCTGTTTTATAAAATCATTTCAATTATCAAAAAAAAAAAAAGAAATCTATGAAGCCTAAATACTGGAGATTACTGAATATCCCAGAAAAGCAATTATATAATAATGTGAGCATACTGTCAGGGGAAAAACTTGAAGGGATAGTCTTACTTGAGGAGGTCTCTTGTTCAAACGCAGGCCTACAGCTTCCAGCTCTCTAGTCAATATTTGCCGATGACCCTCACTCTAGCACATGTTACAATCAAAATTAGTAAGGGTGGGGTAAGATGAAAACACTAGCAAAGAAAATATTTGGATAAATTAAAAGGACTCAAAAAATACCATCATATAACAGGCAATTCATACATCAACCAAGTTGCCAATAATGAATGTGTAAATGGTTAATGATATAATTTATACTTTGGCAATACATATTTTTTTTCTTCAGCAGCTGAAATGAAGGCTTGTTGGATCATAAAGCTTCCAAGGTTGCAGTTGAACTTCTATAAATCTTAATCTTTTCAACCAAAATGTTAAATTCACATAAAAAAATGCAAATTCAGCCAAACATGGCAACATCTGGACCAAACATCTGAAATATTAAAAATAAGCAGGAAAGAGAGTGACAGATAAAAGGCCTTACAAATTCATTGGTTCAACATATTTACCAGCATATATTTTGTTATGTTTTCAATAGTTATTGTTATATGTGGCATTGTGGTGTATAGTTTTCTTTTCTGTTTTTCCCTATTCTTTTTTTTTTCCTCTTTTAAGAAGGCAAAAACAAATCAATTGTGAAGAATCAAGCATATAGACTATATAGTCCATATAAAACTATTAGAAGCCATCTTGGAAATGATCTTTTTTTTTCTTTTGAGAAAAGTAAGTAATGTATTACTCCAAACCACCAAAAAGCCAAATTTGTGCAACAAGAAACTGTGCAATGCCCATGCCATTTCTGTACATCATCTATTCTGTGTTCGAAGATACAAAAAGAGAACTAGGTTCAAAAAAAGAACCGAAAGGCCTATTCCCGAAAAAAGTTTCAATAACTTTTCACTGAAAAGTTTCTCAGAAATGAATTTAACACTACAACCAACACCAAAACAAAGAGAAACAACAACAAGAACATCAATAATATAATTTATCAAAAAATAATAATATAATTTATTATAGAATATAAAATACAGAAAATATATGCAACATGTTTTTGCAAAGAGGGAAAAAGATAAGGGCAATATAAAGGTATACCCCTTGACACCCAAATCCCCCCGATGGAGGCCTAAAATGCCTCGATCAAACAACAAAAACCCAGGCACAGATACACCCCAAACCTGAAGAGCAAAAACATGAGCAAAATATACCTCCAAAAAAAGTTCTCTCCATATCAGAATGGTACAGAAACCACTGAAATATAACCAAAACACCAAGGACCACTTCAACTTTCCAGGCTGTGCACCGACTAGAAAAATCCACCCTACCAAAACCAAGCCCCTGGAAAAGAAAACAATTATTGGGGGCAGGATTCACCCCCTCCATGTCCTTTGCCCCTCCTAGATCAATATAACAACAAAAAACAACAATAACAACAGCAAATAGAAACTGTCATAACAACTATCCACAGCCATCTTAGTTGAGAAAAGGTAAAAATAGGCAGTAAAAAAACAGGTATAAACTTCAGTTCATGTACTAGCAGTAGTATCAAAAGCACTACAAGTACAAAATGGAAACTCACTTTTGAGGCATCAAGGACCATTAATACAATGTCTGATGACTTGGAAACCGCAATGACCTGAGAAATATACCATGGATTCATCCTTCTGTTTCATTTGGCAAATATAACAAATTGTAACAACACCCACTGCCCCTGATCACTACCTTCAACAATCAACTCTACCCTTTTTTAGAAATGAAATTAGAAAAATAATGGGCATAAGTTCTTTCTTTGATGTACTCATGATGACAATATTATTGGATAAAGAAATAATAATACAAAAGCACAGAACAGAAGAAACGTTATAGGTGGCTTACCTGCCTACCCCGTCCCTTGCCTTCAGAAGCCCCTTCAATTATTCCAGGAAGGTCAAGCAGCTGAATTTTAGTATCATTGTAATGTATAATCCCAGGAATGCAGGTAAGTGTTGTAAATTCATACGATGCAGCTTCTGAATGAGTTCCCGTTAACAATGTCAGAAGTGTCGACTTCCCCACACTACCACCAAAGAGACATTCAACAAAATCCATCATCTATTTACTATGACACGTCTCTCTAACAAAACTTCAACTTATTAATGACCAAAGAAAAAACAAAAAGAAATGAATGCTACTAATAGAAATATTGATGCATACTATTTTATCACACTACAAAGGGTGGCCAGTTGTTGCCTTGTAGGTTTATTACTACGATATAGAATGATAGAAAATTTTTCACATGAAATACTTTTCCACCCATGCTCATAAACCTTCAAACCAACAAAGTGAGGGCAGAACAGGTGGCCATTAAAAGTGAAATTTGACTGATATGTCCACATTGTTAATTCCAATGAGGTGACAGACCTTGGAAATCCTATGAGAGCAACACGTCCATGGCCAAATTTTGTAACTTCAAAACCTTCCCCAGCTCCACTAGATCCCTGGTTCACAAAATTTCAATAGCAATAAAAGCCAAATGACAGAATATTAATGAATGAATCACAATATGCAGGATGTTAGAAAAAGCACCATCCAAAAATCACTCAAGAATTGTAACACTTATTTAGGAAAAGAAAAATAAAAAATATCAACACTAAAAGCATATAAAGTGATTGCACTAACTATTGTACATTTTTTGCAAACTAACAAAAGAAGGAAGCAACATAAAGGCCTAAACAAACTGCTGCCCACACCACAGGAGCCTCGAAAAGAATACTGTAGGTCCCACACGGGTTATCCAGATTTTGCAATACTAAACAGGCAGGGCGAAGGAGACTTTTTAAGGGTACAGCTAGGTTACATCAACCTCAGGCCCAGAATTGCTAGATCCTAAATCCCTCTCTTTAAGAAATTTTTTGCAGGTTCATGGTGGTAAGAAACTTCTACTTTTTCCACAACAGTTCATTTATTGGATTTATCTAAATCATACTTGTGTGAGAGAGGAAGCATGGTATGTTGTTTCTATTTGGTGATCCTAGCTTATTCCAAACTTGTTAGCTACGTTGCATGGATACAGGTAAAGCTGTCAGAATCTAACATAAGTCAAGCCATCAAGGCATTGAAACCCAAGCCTAAATAAGGGAGGGTTGTGTCAGGTTGGCAACGAAAATAAAAATCTTTACCCAATCCAATATGAATACAAACCTTGAATCATTTTGCAAAATGCTAGGGCATTCTCTGGATGACAACATGCTGCACTAGCAACCCAGTTGCAGTGATAAATAAGCAAGAGTTCGGTTCTTGTCTTCTTGATAGAGCATAATGGAGGGGTAGCTCGTGTAGCTGTCATGTAGCCAACCCCAAATAATTGGGATTATAGCTGAATTGAGTTATGTACATGCAAACACACCTACAAATAGTAACATGTAATTATATTACTATAGCTTTTAAATTTAGTTTTAATAACATTTTTATGTTACAAGAATAGTGAATAATTGTTGGGAAAGAAAACAAATTTAATCTAGAAGCATAAATCAATGTGAACAACATTAAATTGAATAGAAGAGGCACAGGTTTCAAACTCGTGGACATATGGTTAAGCTATCTACAATGTGACAGTGTTGGTAGCTTCACCTTAATCAGAAAAAGGTCCATAATTTCCAACTCAAAAGTCTAACATCTCTATTGATAGTTATGGGTTGATTCTAGTCCGCCACATTATTATAACCCTTAATATTCATAGCATCTGTATTCTGTATCAATGATAATCTTAAATAGCCTAACTGGTTTATTTAACAGAAGATATATTTCCGTTGGGTCAAGGATAAAAGTGGTTCATCTATTGTGATTTTTTATATTTACCCAATAAAGAACCTATTTACTTGTAGTCAAGTTGGTCATAAAGCATCCTTTGCAATGAGGAGGCACGGGTTCAAACTTGTGGATATATGGTTAAGCTCTCTACATTGTATTGGTGAGTCTATACTATTGGTAACTGCACCTTAGTCAGAAAAGGGTCCATAATTTCCAACATAAAAGTGACACCACTGATGGTAGCATCAGAATTATTGGCTGATTCCAGCCCACCTAATTATTACAACCCTCAATGTTCATAGCATATGTAATGAAGATAAACTTAAAATAGCCTAGCTAGGTGTTTAACAGAAGATATGCTACTGTTAGATCGAGTATGAAACTGATTCATCTGATGTTATTTTTTATTATTTACCTTATAGAGTATTAATATACTCATAGTCAAGATGCTCATAAAAGATCTCTTACAATGAGAAGGCACTGGGTCCGATTGCACCCTATCCATAACTTCACCTTAATCATGAAAAGGTCCATAATTTCCAACTCAAAAGTCTGACATTTCTATCGGTAGCTCCTTAGTTATGGGGTGATTCCAGTCCACCCAATTATTATAACCGTCAATGTCAATGTTTATAGCATCTGTGACGAAGATAAACTTAAATAGCCCACTTGGTTGATTTAACAAAAGATGTTATTATTAGGTCAAAGATAACACTGATTCATCTATTGTGATTTTTTATTAATTACCTCATAGAATACCTGTCTACTCGTAGTCAAGTTGGTCATAATGCATCCCTTGTAATGAGGAGGCATTGATTCGAACTTGTGGATATATGGCTAAGGTCTCTAATATTGTGTCGGTGGGTCTGGTATGCACCAAATTAGTAACTTTGGCTTAGTCAGTCAAAAGTCCATATCTGTGATAAAGATAAACTTAAATAACCTGGCCGGTTGATTTAACAGAAGGTATGTTACTGTTAGGTTAAAGATGAAAGTCATGAAACTGATTCATCCATTGTGAATTTTTATCATTTAACTCATAAAATATCTATCTACTCATAGTCAAGTTGATCATAAGGCATCCCTTGCAATGCAGAGGCATGGTTCAAATTTGTGGATGGTTAAGTTCTCTACTTTGTGCCGGTGGATCCGGTGTGCACCCTGTTGGTAACTCCGCATTATTCAGACAAAGGTCCATAGTTTCCAACTCAAAAGTCTAAAATCTTTATTGGTAGCTTCAGTGTTATGGAATAATTCCAACCCACCTAATTATTATAACTCTCAATGTTTTGCGAATTTAGATGGATTCCAAGGGAGCTGAACTCAACTGTGGATCTTTTGACTAAATCTGGGGTGGATAGAATTTTATTGTATAGTGCAGACACTTTGCCCCCTTAACTGGGGAGATCTTTAGTTGGGCTGTCTTGTATGTTTTGTTTGTACATCCCCCCCCCTTTTCCCTTTCTGAATATAATAGTTTCCTTTTTCAAAAAACAAAATTATTATAACTCTCGATGTTCATTGCATCCAAGACAAAGATGTGTTAAATTATCAAGTAAAATAAATATAAAATGCATGCCTGACACAAGAAGAATAGCCATTTTGAAATGTCAATGTCAAATAGTTTCCTAGTTACCTTAGATAGTGATATCCATGTCTACATACACATGCATATACAAATAACAAATTTTCACATGTAAACTTGAGGTAATATCCCAAAACCTTTTAATGAATGAAAATTTATGTTTAGAGATGTTTCAACCCATTATGAAGGTGATAATTCCTTCAAATCTCCTAGTTCCAATTCTTAAATGGCCCTTTGATACTGACTCAAGTAGATATGGAGAAGCAATAAGAGGAAAGAAGGTAATTCAGGTGCCAATCCTCTTATTGGGGGTCCTACAACTTCCAGATCAGGTAGTGGGCTTTCCAACGTGAAAGGAGGCAAATCATATGATTAATGATGAAAATATATATACCCCATTTTCTAGGCTAGCCCTTGCCATCAATCCCTTGTTTTTACCCTTTGCTTCTTACAGTTAGTTCCCCAGATCTCTATGTCCAATAGAAAGTTGCATTTAATTCAATGGAACCTATATATAACATATAGGAGCAGTTATATATGGACTCCAACTCCTAAAACAACTCTCATAACACATCATTAATCATACTAAAACTAAATAAACAAAAGATAATGCTATGATAAACCTAAAAATAGAAACTTTCTAATTCCATCACAAATTTACACCCTATTACTAAGATGTCTATGGCTTTGACAAAACTCATCAGATTTCATCTTGATCTCATCCGATAGGTAATTAAAAAAACATGTCATTAGACACCAGAATCAAGTCAAGTGGACAAATTTTGACCCCTTAAGCTTGGACTGCAAGAAAATAACATCATACTTCAAACTATTATGACCCTCTAAGATAACTAACCCTAATATTAAGGCATTAACTAATTAGAAATAACTTTTAAAAGACTCAAATTAACCAAATTTCAAATAACCATAAGCCAAAATTTTCATTGGTACAGAATACAAAGACTTGATTTCTTATTTAATGGCTTCTTTCCCTTTTCAATAAATGGATCAAAGGATAATCAGAATGCATCTGAAATGATCATATATGGTAATCAAAAGGCTGAGTTATACAAGGAGCCCTTGCCTTCATAAATTACCTGTATTAAACACCTCCTGGTTGGTTCTTTTCTAATTCTTTTATTCTTTCTATTTTTTAATGAAGTGGAACTTCTCAATCAAAACGAAAAATTAAATGAATATAAAAAATGAAAAATAATATCTAGTCATGTAAGTGAAGATAAACCATAAAATTAAAGGAAAAGAGATCTGAACACCTTTGGAGGCTCCAACAATTGTGTCCTTAACTTTGCAATTTTTGCCTTGAGTTGTCCAAGGTGGTATTCTGTGTATTGAATGAAATCAATCATATGCCTCAGTACTAGAGAGAGCAACTTAGTGGAAAAAATAGAGTAATTGGAAAGACCATGAAGAAGTCCATTATGCATGAAAACTATAGAAATTTATCTAATGCAAATGCATCTGGCATATTAAATGCATTGGAATAGAGCTTTGAGCAAGATCAAAATTGCATAGGGAGAATTTTTCAGGGAGGATCAAGAGAAGAACCTGTTGCTTTGTTTTTCTGTGTCCGTGCCATTTCGGCTTCAATTTCTTTTATCTTTTCTATGATACCCATTTTCCTACTTCCTAGATATGCCTGCCAATAGAGAAAGTTTATTAAATTTTTCACTTATGTAACAGCATGGAATCAAACATGTCAAACAAGTGGAGATATCCACACAAATATTATAAACATAAACATCAAGAAAACAGTATATGCAAGATATCAAAATAAAAGCTGCTTATTTGGGTCAGAAGATAAACAAGGATCATAATGAACAAATGATTAATTCAAAGGATATGACCCTAGATTGAAAGTAGAAGGTACAAATTTCTTGAATCAATATCTGATTAGCTGATCAAAAAGATAACCCAAAGTAAAGGCATTAAGGAGTTTGACCATAGGATAAGTCAATGTATATCTGTTTCAGATGATAGTATCTTTGGTCATATGGATAAACTTTGGTCAAATTTTATCAGATGCATCTAGATTATTTGTATATTAACAACATAGTAAGAAGCAAAAGAAACTAAGCTCCAATAACTAGTGAAATACTAAAATGGTTGATACATGATACAAGCTCTTTAATGATTACCACTCAAATATTTCGTAAGACATTTTAACTGTTAAGATATGACAATCTGTCTTTTTGACACAGACAAAAACCTCTAGTGTCAGACTGGTAAATCTTCAGCAACCTCAAAAAACAAGAGCATGGCATCATGTAAGTTGTTCTGAGTGAAGAAATAATGAAGTACCTATGCCGCATTAACCTCAATGACACAAGACCCTTCTATTAGATGGAACACAACCAAAAATGTCAGAGCAATAGGAGTTCAGAACTGAAGCTTCTACTATAAATTATAATAGAATGTCCAAAAAAGTTGTACACATCAGACATTGGATGTACATTAAGATAGGTTGTATTTCTTGAGTGCATTCATGCCCAGAAGATTGAAACCTGATTGAGAGGTTCATGTCAATAACCTGGCTTCCTCCATTTACATTACTTGACCTAGACGGCTAGATAGGATTTCTCTTTTTTTTTCATTTTCCTTTTATTATTTTTTTTTCCTTTTGGACAAACGCAGACAGCATATCCCCCATATTCCTCTAGAACATCCTGTATATATTTTCTTACTTATGTATAAACATATAAAACCATGAATTATGTTCATCCCTTATCATTATCCGCTATATGTTACCTCTTTTAAAGTGATAGAACCAGTAATTTCATATCATGCAATTAGAACTTTGATATTCTACCAAAAAAAAAGCTTCCCTTTCAGTAGTTAACTTGAGGCTTTTGAATCATAATTATTAAAAGCAGAAGTATTTTGAGCACCTATAAACATCATAATTCGTCAAAAATATCAAGTTGGATTTCGCGCTTTGATTACGAAACAACATAGTAATACTAATTTGAACCATGTTAGATCGATAAAATCCAAATGGAAAGTTACTATAATTAGTCGAAATCGAAATTTATCAAAGCGGGATAATGGGGAAAACGAAGGACGAGGTTTAAAATACCTTTTGGTCTTCAGTGTATATCTCTCTCTATATATCGATGGAACTACGCGTTTGCTGGAACTCCCTCAGCTGCTCGTCGGAATATACCCGATTTAGCAATGGTACGGCCGGAACGCAAAGTTCTCGAAACAGCCCCAAGGTAGAACTCTGGAATCTGGAGTGGAGACCTGTACGGATGCATCTAAATGTAATACTCCGAATCTACAGTGAGAAAGGTAGTCTTTACATCATCCACCGTCCACGTAATTCTACATCCCACTGATCAAATGTTTTGATTTGGATAAACCCATAAACTCATAAAGCTCCCATTACATGGGAGAAAACAGTCTTCTACACAAGACACGTTAACCAACCTATTCTTGATTTGTCTTTTTAATTCAAAATATTAATTATAATTACTCTTTTACCCCAAACCCACGCTAACGTGTCATGCGTACGAAACTTCAAAAGCAGCCAAACTTATCTAGCCAGCCCAGGGCCAGGAGTGACCATCGCTAGGGCCTAGGCCCAATTTCTAGCCTGGAATGATAATGATACTTGAGTATTTGTAATTTGTATATTATGAGTATACTAGCTCATAAATCATTATGTTCCATTCAAATTAAAGACTTGAGTCAAAAGCTCGGAAATTTGAGCTCGGTTACTTTTGATTGCAGGTCTTTCAAGAAGTTAAGGTGTCAAGCTGAGATCTCGCTCAATTGCTGAGGTGCCAAATTGAGGTTTCCCTCAGTTGTTAAAGTGTCAAACTAAGGTTTCCCTAGCAGACGAGGTGTCAAGCTAAGGTCTCCCTTAGTTGATAAGGTGCCGAGCTGAGGTTTCCCTCAACTATCGAGGTGTTGAGCCGAGATCTCCCTTAGTGACCGAGGTGTCGAGCCGAGGTCTCTCTTAGTGGTTGAGGTGTCGTCTAGCTCGAACTCGATTCGAATTAGAGACTTGAGCTTGAGCTCAGAAGTTCGAGCTCAGCTTGGCTCGACTCGAACTCAACTACCTTTGATTGTAGTCCCCTAGTAACCGAGATGCTGAGCTAAAGTCTCCCTCAATTGGAGAGAGAGAGAGAGTGGCATTCTTGTAATTTAAAAGAAAAAAAACAAAACAAAACAAAAGAAAAAGTTGGTAGAGAGTAGCATTTTTGTAATTTATATAAAAAAGGCAAAAAATACTGTTAGTTTCCATTTTCCTCATCCTCAGACATTCTTACATACACATTTCAGCTTAATATATTTGTATAGATATAGATATAGATAGTCCATACTCCTTAGGTTAAGAAAGCCCGGGTGCCCGATTCAAGCGCATATAGGGTTAGGCCTGAGTAGGCATAGTGTGAGCTACTCTGGGCCTGGGCTTAAATGTGTTAGGCTTGGCTCGGGCTTTCTCTTGTGTACTGATGAAGCAGTTGGTTTCGTTTAAACACCCCCTAAGTTTTCTCTATTGGATTGAAGATGGGTAATGATAATTGACGAAGATCAAAAGTCACGGACGATCTTGAGGCAGCTCGGAAGATTCCTGCATGAAAAGACAAAAGTCGGAGAACCAGGGTGATATCCCGAGCTTTAATAAATCTCCAATGATCAAATCAGTAAGCCGAGCTGTTGGAGGTGGTTAGGAAAACTTTGACTGTTTGTTATATATATATATATAAAGAAGCCTGGGCTGTTTGGGAGCTCCCTCAGCTCAGCATGACCACCCCCACTTTTGTCTGTTTGATTAACAGTATTGATTGCAAATGACTTATGATAACGTGTCATGTGTAAGGAGACAGCTCCCAAACAGCCAAAGTTTTTCCTAGAAATCGGAACGTACACGTTACAACTTACATTACCACGAAACTTGGGGTTGAAAAATAGAGATCAATAGGAGGATGAAACTAACATAACACTACCATCAAGACAGATGTCCAGGGAAAGATGACAGCCTAAATTGCAATGTTCCCGTGGACAATAAAAAAAAACACAGTGGGGGCTCACAGTTTCAATAAGCATGATCGCACACTCAAAAATAAAATAAAATATAACTTTAGATTTTAGTTTTTTTTGGGGGGGTAAGAACTAAGAAGCTTTTATATCGTTGATTGGAGCCCATATGAATTATTCTTTTGAAAATAATATTAAATCATGTGGTCATATGATTTAAATTCCATGTTATTGAAATATTTAAAAAAATATATTTTTGCCTTGAAAATATTATTTGACTTTCCTTTATCTTAATTTTTTTTGTCACCATTTCCATGCATTTTCTAAACATATGCGAAACATACATGCCAGTAGCTTTGCAATACTCTTGGACATTATTGGCCCATAATAACCATGTTGTATCCATGTTCCATAACTATACCGTGATCATGACACCTATACATCAATCAGAATCTTTTAGATTATGACACCTATGCATTTAATTTGTACTCACTTTAATGGGTTTGAATCATACAATTTAAATAATTACTTAAAACTCCCATAACCGAAGTCAGCAAAATTAGTTGTTTTCAGTGATATCGGATTTGCTCTCACAGAGCGCGCTTTACACCAACTTCACATCACATTGCAATCCTGCATTGGGAACGATCTTCCCATGAATGAAACGGAGTACCTGAGATGTTCTCAATGCACGGCTGAAAGCACTGTAGCAGAGATACTCATGGCAGTCATCAAGTGATGGCATAATTCATAACGTCCTAACATTCACAGGCAGGCATTAAGTGATGGCAGAATATGATAATCTTTAAGTGCACAAATGATATTTATTTGCAAGACTTGTTGTAGCATATACAGTTACAGGTACCCAGTCCTAGCTTCATTTACATTTCTCCCACTACGACCAGCCAACTTGCCTGAGCTAAGATCAGGCGCAGATTGCGCATGCATCTCTGCAAGCTCTCGAACTCGCAACAGAATGGGTGCTGGTATGGGCATTGAGGCATGCTTTCGTGAATTCTTCATCTGCGTAACATACCCAAGAACGAAGTTAAGAAAGAATGTACACGAACAGAACCATAAATTAAAAGAAAAGGCAGAACCAAATTTCCGTTGGACGGGAGACACATCCAGGAGAAATGGAGCATTTATCCACTCCTGTGATATATCTATCTGCAATATCACGAAAATGGCAACAGTATTTCTTGAGATATCAGAGGGGTAAAACTCGCAAAATTGCTACAACATATTTTGTTTTTAAAAATCTCTGCTTGAGGCTACATTTGTTTAATCGAAAAGGGGTGGAGTGGATAATTTTTCATTCTGAATATTTTTGTCCTTTCTTCAACAAAACAAACTTTGATTAATCACACACAAAAATAAATAAATAAATAATAAGAAACGCAAATAACTTTGATAAAAATGAGAACCATAATAAACAATAGGCAATTTCTATGATGCCAGAACGGTAGAACTTTGACCCATTAGAACCACCCATGAATTTTGATGAATGCCAGTTGATTGGTTCTACTTTGACACCAGGTCTCTAAACATTAACAAATTACTAACCCCTTTGTCTGTAGGTGACTGTGCAAAGCTAGCTCTCAACAGGTTCCTCCACTTATCCTACAAAATGAGAACCTTTTTTTAGTATGGTAACATTCTGAAGGGCAACAATCAAGTCACGGTGCTTCTTACTTTTTGCTAAACTTCCACATATAAGTCAGTTACAGTGCAAGAATACAGTCCATTTTGCAATTCATACCTTCAAATCAACTGAAGTGCGGTAAGTATAAGATGCAAAGGCAAGCCGCTTGATCTCAGACCACCTTCCAGCTCCATACCTAGACACCCCTTCAACTAGCTTCATAACTTCAGTGAGAGTCCATGCTCGGTGATGCTTTCTTCTGGTTCCTCCTTTTGCAGTTGGAACAGTGACTACATTATCATCTGAATTACCTCTGGATGAGTCTAGATTTTCCAGCTCCACATTTTGTTGGTGCTCACTTCTGCACGTAAATACAGGTTGCTTCTCTTTCTCTGCTTTAGAAATCACCTGGCAACAAAAGGGTTAAATTAGCATTACCTAATCTAATTCTGTTGTGTCCTCAATATCATAGCAGATTGATCAGACAGATAATCCTTAGAGAGATGAGAAGACGAAACAAATTATGATTGTACAGGAGCAAGTAGGGGTGGCAATTTCTGACCCATCCAACCATCCACTTGTAACCCATCCAAACCTACCCATTTAGGATGTGGGTTGAGTGGTTGGGTCAAATAAAAAGGGTTTGGATTAGGTTGGGTTGTGGATATTAATTTGGGTCAACCATATAAAATAAGTTTTTTTTTTGCATCAACTACATGAAAGAAATACGCAAAATGCCCTCTCCATTCGTCTCCTCTCTCTTTTCTCTCTCTCATCCTTATTCTCCCTTTTTTTCTTTCCTTTCTCCTACATATTCTCTCTATTTTCTCTCCTCTCTTTTCCTTTTCCTCTCTATCCATCCACTCTCCACCACTTCTCTCTCTTCTCCCTCATCCTTTGTCTCTCTCTAGTCTCTCCTTTAGCTTCTCTCTCCTCTTGGTCCTCACTTCTCTCTCCTTTATCTCATTTCTCTAACTTTTTTATAAAGTCCAATTTTTATGTTTGGATTGATCCAATCAGGCAGGGCCATATGGCACTATAGGAGAAACCCATTTTTTTTCCCAATAAGGATTGGTTTACATAGTTTTCAAGGCTCCACTTGGGAAGAGTACAAATACAAATATTCTGTATTTGCACTCTTCCCAAATGGAGCCTAAATCTCAAATGGTCAAGACGGGTGGATTAGGTTGGGTTGCAACTCATGTACATACTAGGAATATTGGTTATCAATGGCTATCGGCAGTTGATGGATAGATTGGCCTTTAGAAGGAATGAAGTATTTACAAAAAATGCCAAGCATCTCCTTCAAGGGCCACTCTAAGTCTACGTCACCATTCAAAGCCTACTTTGCCCTAAACAATTCATCGATCCAACATTAAGTCATTAATTCCAGGGAAGAACAAGCTTGTTAATTGGTTAGCTGTTCAAAACTGGATGGAGTGGGCTAAAGACCATTTAGAAGCAGGCCTTAGGCCCAGAGAGGCAGATAGTAATTGCAGCTCAGACCCTCTCCAGATAGGCCAAAGACCATTTTTCTCCATAGTTTTTTGTTGGTAATAGTGTTCTGCATATTATCACCTAACGTTTCTCATTTTCTTATCTTTCTTTGCACACAGATGCAATGCATAAGTGACTAAATGTGGAATACAACAAAGGATATTAACCCACTTTGGATTCACATGGGAGATATAAACCCTGACCAGCTGATGCTCCTTCCCAGTATAATTACAAGCCACTTGAGCAAGAAACCATTTAAATGATTGCCTATAACTTACTTATATCAACAAGAATTTTGCACAAATAACATAATACACATGCAAACTGCACATTGTAGGTCTTAGATTCTAAGAATTGTCTAATATCAACATGTAAACCTGTAAGGTAGCCAAATAAAATGCAAGTTGTATCCAAAACAAGATAAATTATCTAAGAAATTCAAGAAAGACCACCCATAAGGAATAAAGAACAAATTAGGCATTGTTTACCTATACACAACATCGTAAGAAGAAAAGCAAGTAAGCAATACAAAAAGCCATGCTGCCCTTGATTAAAGAGAACTCAGCAATTGAACCCCAATTCCCTACCCCATACAAACACATACACAACAAAAATAGGAGGGAGGATATGTGCCAAAATGCTGACAACTAAGGTCTTGTGACAGTTGAAAGGATATAGTAGTCTTAGAAACATGCTCCCCTCTCCCCCTGGAGCCCAAGAGTTTACCCCTTAGATGAAATAAATAGTAAAATACAAGAACTGCCCCAGCCCCGGCAATCGGTATTTACAAAAGTGCAGACAAGCAAGCCATAGAAAGCAGTGCATATAATAAAGAAGTACAACCAAAATATATTACCACTACCAGATACAAATAGTAGACAATAAAGAGACCAGCAAAATTACATGACATTGCCTCAAATGAAATGAAGGATAAAAGGAAAAATTGGAAGAAATGGATAAATGCATCAAAATATAACTCAGATAGAAGGCCATAAAGCATACCATTAGAGCCATAAAGTTTTTCCTTGGGCGACCTCTTCTCACCCTAGACACATAGGGAACCAGAACACCAGAACCTCCAAGAGAATCCTGCCGGGTGACAACGACTGTTCCATCTGAACGCACATTGCTTACAGGCCTTGCAATGTATTTTGGTGAAGACGGTGTGGGTCCAGTATTTTTAACAGAAGATAGAAACCTCCCACTACATTCCCTGCTTTCAACTTCTGAAAGTTCTTCAATATACCGCCTAGTGGGCTTTCGGACCCTTTTGGCTGCTCTCTCTTCCATGTGGATATCTTCACTTTTATAGCCACTTTCTACATCAGACTTTCCAAATATCTTGCCAGATAAAACCCCCTGATCTTCCATTTGGTTAGTAGGATTACTTGGTAAGTCTTTGCAGTTATCATTTACAACAACCTGATCTTTGGTCAGAGTAGTATCTACACTCTTACTATTTTCTTCTGTGACTTTATTACGAACCAAGGTTTTACCTCTAATAATAAAAGTTGTGGTTGAAACATCACATGAATTAGTCAGTCCCATAGCAATCCGCCTCTTAAGCCACAGCTTGTCCTTGACAGAAGTTTCTCGCCCAAATGTTGCTTTGAAAGTTTCATGAAGTTCCTTAATTGACAGATTATCCAAGCAAATTTCTTCCTTCAGAATAGAAAAATCAGGCTTTGAACTGGTGGAATGAGCAGAAGCTGAAGATCCATTATTTAATAAACCATCTGTAGATCTCAAGAATGTTTCCGTGCCACCTTTTTCATAGGTCTGGCTTTTGTTTAGTCTGGGTGACAGCAAAGGAATAGGTTCCTGCAATGTAACCTCAGACTGGAGCTTCTCATTACTAGCTCGCAATTTATTAAGCTGATCAGAAGGCTTCCCATCCATGATCTTGCAATCAGAAGAACGATCAGGAGATGCACATGATAACCGGAGCCTCTCTTCTTGTTTTACTTTTTGCAACATCACCTCGATATACTACAACAGAGATAAAAGAACAACAAAAGCTTTAGGAAAATCAACAAAATAAGTTCAAGCAAACATAGATGCAAATGTCCAAGCACAAGTTCAACTAAATATGTACAACAAAAAGAACACCATAAGAGAATCAGGATAACCATGGAAGAGCATGAATTGGGTAATAATATTGATTGGATCTCAGATGAGTACTCAAAATGTGAACCAGATTAAGAAACACTATAACATCCAGCAGTTAATTTCCATAAACATTGGCAACATGCAAGTATCTGCTTCAGAGTAATTCTCAGATTTAACAAGCACAAATAGCAGAAGCATGTAATAATATTGATTGGATCTCAGATGAGTACTCAAAATGTGAACCAGATTAAGAAACACTAAAACAGCCAGCAGTTAATTTCCATAAACATTGGCAACATGCAGGTATCTGCTTCAGAGTAATTCTCAGATTTAACAAGCACAAATAAAAGGGGCATTCATGCATGCAAATGACATGAAGAAAAATGGATGTCAGGATTGAAGTCTTTTTGACATCTAGAGCAATTTAGGAACATATGTTGTAGACTTGTAGCACTAGTTATAATGCTAAAAATAATTTGGCTGCAATTTCAATCCAGAAATTGTTCAAAATAATCCCAGAAAAAAAAAAAAGGTGTACCTCTGATTTTTTTTTTTTTGAAAGGTTGCATTATTGCATGCCAAAAATAAAGGCAATTAATTAATTAAAAGATTTGTTACAACTAAATTGAATTAACTATTATAGGCAAAATAAAAGACATAAAACAACATAACTATCAAAAAAAAACATAAGGATAAAACATGTAATGATTGATTGATTTATTTCACGGATGGGGTCTCTCTGCAGCCATACTATACATCACAACAATTGTTCTGCCAATTTGTTTGCCAAACACCACCTATGTAGGCAATTGTTGTACGGACCTAGCTTCCTTTTCTTTTTTTCCTTTAACAAAGCATCTTAACCTATAAAAGATAATAAGAAAAACAGAAATAAGTACTATAGTTATTATTAGTATCATTTACTTTTTAAATTGTGTACAAAACAGAAATAAATGTCACGAATTTCAATTCGTACCTAGGGGTTAAATAACAGATTTATTTATTCAGCAGAAATGATAAAATTACATGAAATAATTATTGAAAAGAAACAACATAAAAATCAGAGCTGATCCAGTAAACCATGATTAAAAAACTCCATTTACTTCAACTTCCATCATATTTTTCCTATAAAAACTTTAAAAGGAATTTATTCACTATTGTTATAGTCTTATAGATATCATGAGGTAGGAGAGTAAGGGTAAGTATATGATTATAATGCCCTCCACAATTTGTTTTACGATTTGAACCAACAGAAAATAATAATGTATAGAGACAGAATGTTGTCCCAAATAGCCATAGCAGACAGGTTACATCCCTGCCAGAAAAAAGTAATAAGTGATGGTCCTTTGCATTTTGGCAATGTGAACTAAATAGCCTGCATATTCATTCAATACCAGAGAGACAAAGACATGGTAGTAGAAAGAGCAAAGAAGAATCCATAGCTACATACTTGTAACAAGCCATAAGTTTATAGTCTTATATGCATAAATAATATAGGAAAATGAGAATCTTTTCAATCATGAATGTAAGGGGAGTGTCAAACAAGAAAAATGCAGCAAAACTGCAATAATAATTTTAGTTTAGATATTTAAATACACACAGTGGGGTGTGGGGAAAAAAGACCAATAGCATACCTCAAGCCGAGCATTTAGCTTTTCAGCATCAACTTCTGCATTATCTGATTGTAAAAATCCTGCAAAAGATAATTCCTTAAGATGTGGATACCATACTGAACCAACAAGCAAGCAGCAAAACAAATAGCCAAGCTCAAGTCTAAAGTAAGTGGCATAAAATTTTTTTTTTCTAAAAAAAGATCAAAGATGGGAATGGGATTTATGTTTTTTTATAAATACTGATGAAAATGGGATTTATGGTTTCAGTGAACTCATAATTTCAAATTAACCCCATCTAGACTGCTCAGTAGCTGTAAATCATCTCCCGAAAGGGGAAATGAACATGAAATTGTATAAGCAAAGAAAAATATTTAGAATGTTCCACAGACCAAATCACAACCCCAAACATAAACTATATACACACACAAGTAACAACTACAAAGGTTACTAATCTAACCTTCAGATCCCTCTAAGTTAGCCTTCTCAGAAGAAAACCCTTTATTCTGCCCAGTGTCTGCAACTAAAGGCAGTTCAATTTTGTCATCCTCAAGCAAGTCTTCAACCTCCATAACTTCATCATCAGTAGCAGGAACTAGTCTTCCATCACCTTCAACCTGAAAAACAGGCAAAACATTACAAGCCCATAACAGTCCATTCCTACATAAAATGGACCAAACAAACAACAGACAATACCCTTTACGATTTAACCAGAGTTGATAAATAACAACTCACCTATGTCAAAATAACAATTCCCCTCTATTCACACCTTCCCTGGCAAGAGAATTTGCTAGACTATTGGCAAATCTAGACACCCAATTGAATGTGCAGTTCATATTAGACCACCACTCTAACTTAAATTACCAGATGCCTGAAGTTCCACAGATCCCCTTACAATAACCATCCAGTTACAGAAAAACCTTGGCTGTTTGGAAAAACAGCGTAGGTTTTTTCTAGCTTCCTGCATAAGACATGTTACCTAACTGAAGTCTTTTTTTGTCCCACACTAATGATAACGGGTCATGCCCCAAAACAACCAAAGTTTTCCCTCCAGTTACAACCTAACAGTCCCCTTTAATAGCTAATTCCGTTCAGCCCAATGCAAGACCTAAGTTAAGCCCTTGTAATATGCAAGCACCCACTGGCCCACAACTAATCATCAATTCCCCATTCTTTTTCAACCAACTCCTTCACTTCTCCAGGGCCCCAGGTACCAAGGCTGCACCCATCAAAGTTAAGTTTCATTTTACTCTCTTCTTATCTTTTCTACAATTCAATGGTCAATACTTAAATCAGTTCTGCATTTTCCATTCACGAGTTGCAATTAAGTATTTACCTCAGAAGCCAACATTCCTAGAGGAACAACTAAAAGCCCCGAAACTTTTACACAAGTTATAGAAGCAACATGCTATATGACACTTCACATCATTTCCCATTATAGGAAAGGTAACTGTTGACTATGGCGCCCTTCTCTTCAATAAATTGGCTCAGTTCTACTCATAGAAGAGTTATCCCAACTAATAGCAACATAAAACCCATTTCCCTCCAAGCAACTACCTTTTCCTAAGAAGAGATGCAACGAAACGCATGCTAATCTAACAAGCAAACGAGAAGAATTCGTTTGCCTTAACTCAGTGTTTTGGAACATCTTGCTTATTTATAGTAAAATTTCCGGTCTCAGGACCCCCCCCCCC